GAGGGTGTGAGCAATCATATTATTTCCGTTCTGTTATTATTATTATTTTTTAATTCAAGTGCCTTTGCTCAACCTCTATATAAAGATGGCACCATGTCTTGTCAATTAAACCACTACAATTCTACTCATCTATTGCATAGTTAACTTCTTCTGCAATACATAGCCTTAGGAAAGATGGCCGTGCGTTATAAGCTAGAGGCCGATCTGGATATCAAGGCACCTGCTGAGAAATACTACCAATTCATGAAAACCACAGTCTACCATTTTCCCAACATTTCAGACAAGATCCAGCAGGTTGATGTTCATCAAGGTGCCTGGGACACTCACGGCTCCATCCATGTGTGGACATACAGCATAGGTAATGTAACACCAGCCTCGATCGTCGTCAAAATTGCTTAGTTTAACTTTAATCTCTAATGGCATGTAGGTGACAAGAAGAATCAGACCTTCAAAGAGAGGGTTGAGCACGATGACAGGAACCTGGCTGTCATTATGACTGGATTGGAAGGACATGTGTTCAATGAGTTCAAGAGTTACAAAGGCACCTTTAAGGCAATCCCAAAAACTGATGGTACCTGCACGGTGAAGCATATTATAGAATATGAGAAACTTGGTGAGGATAGCCCTGATGCACATAAATATCTGGATTTCATTGTTGGGATGAGCAAAGATGCTGAAGCACATCTGGTCAAGAATTGAAAGGAAGGACCTCTTTGGTAAGTCCTAATGTGTTTGTGTGAATTTCCTGAGTGTTTGCAGGTGCTTTATGTGATGTGTAATAAAGAGGTTATGGGTGCTAAGCTTAAGCTGAATTTTCAGCTGGTTTATGTGTGTAATGTTAAGTGTTTGTAATGGAATAATACTCTCTGATATGAATTAATGAAATGGAGAGTTCCTTAATTTGATTGCTTTTCTTTTCTTTCTTTCTTTTTTTTTTTTTGCTTAAATTAACTAAAGAAAATTATTTTAATAGAGAGGAGTGTACCAAACCTTCAAACAGACAAAACACAATGCATCCTCTTTTTTTTTATTTAAAAAAGCACACAACAGTTACAAGCTATATTAAGAATTCACATTTGATTAATTAACCTACTTATTGAACACGATAAATTACTTGAAAACATTAAATTCTAGAATTCTTAAGCACAATCTCAAATCCAACCTGTATTATTTTCTGTATACTGCATATCTGCTATTTATCCACTTAAAGATCCAATCTGAACAAGCTCAAAGGCTCCTTGAACGCTACTTCTAGAATTCACTTTTGGCTGAAGAGGGTGTGAGCAATCATATTATTTCCGTTCTGTTATTATTATTATTTTTTAATTTGGTTGCAATAAATTTTTTTGTGGATTTGAAGTACATTTTGTACTCTTTATAATATAATTTTACTTTAAATTTATTAAAAAAAACTAATTCTAAAATTCTTAAGTACAGATTTGTTTCTGTGACTCATTATCAAATGTATAAAAGATATCGAGAGGATGAATGTCATTATTTACCATATGACAGATAGCATCAAATTGTCAACTCAACAGTTGAAAAATGGCAAATCAACAATCAACTTATAAAGATAAGTTGATTCTCCTAGACTAACAATATTATCTCTTGCCACTTGTATTAATTAATTTAGCGAGTATGTGAGCATTATTTGAAAACACTAATGAAATTTCACCAAAAAAAAATTTTTTTTGTTGAAATTATTATATTCTTTTACATAATTGAAAACTTATTTTAATGCTCATTATTATTACTAAAATTTTTTTTAGTTATCATCTTTCATGTCACCAGATCCTGTTGGTTTAGCGAGACTTTATGTTGATTTCATTTAATAATACATAACTATTTAGCCATGAATTGATATTAAAATTAGCTAGTTTAAACTGAAAGACTTGATCCCTGTTTTGATCCCTGGTTCTCTGTTCTTGATCCCTGTTTTGACATGGCTTACATATCCATGTGAAATACTGAGATGCTCTCCAAAAAAACTAAAGCTACCTTGAGCAGGTTGCTGCTGTTTTGTGCTTTGGGCTCCTATTTTTTTACACTTTCTCCTTTTTTATGATCATGAGTGTGACTCTTTGATTGCAAGGGTGGCCTTTCTGATATATATATATATATATATATATATGATGGCTAGTGCTCTGTAGTATCGTGTAATTCAGACCAAAACAATTTTCTATATATGCTTATTTCTTTTATCTATTTTTATAGCACTTTCCATTTTTATAGAGCTGGAGCCGGGCTCCAGCTCTATTAATGGATGACACCATGTCTTGCCAATTAAACCAAAAATTTACTAAGCTGTTGCATGGTTAAGAGATTCTGCAATACATTGCCTTAGGATAGGAAAGATGGCTGTGCGTTATAAGCTAGAGGCCGATTTTAGGTTCATTACACTCGAATCATCATTGAAATTGAGTTCTTAAACTTTAATCTGTAATGGCATGTAGGTGACAAAAAGGACCAGACATTCAAAGAGAGGGTCCAGCATGATGACGAGAACCTGTCCATCCTTATGATTGGATTGGAGGGAGATGTGTTCAATCAGTTTAAAAGTTAACAAGGCACTTTTAAGGCAATCCCAAATGATGATGGTACCTGTGTTGTGAAACATATTATAGAATATGCGAAACTTGATGAGGATAGCCCTGAGGCACATAAATCTCTGGATTACATTGTTGGGATGAGCAATGATATTGAAGCACATCTGAATTTGTATTTTGTGTGAATTTCAAGAGTGTTTGCTGGTGGTTTATGTAATGTGTAATAAAGGTATTATGGCTACTAAGCTGAAGCTAAATATTTAGCTGGATTATGTATTAAGGAAACACATAATACTGCAGCACCAATCATGGCTCAATTCCATATCCTGATTCCTCCCACAATCAATTCTGCCAATCATGTATTTTGCATTAATAAGGATTATGTATATTATGTATATTTCTATTTTTACTAGCTCTTTCCATAAGAGTTAATTGGGGCAACATCTCAATCTGTATATATATGTAACTTCAGTGAACAATAATATTATCTTTTATTCTCAGCCTCTTATTTCACCTTATTAGTGGTATCAGAGCTTTTTCTCAAACGAGCACTACCAATGGCCAGTGAATCCTCTACAGCCATCACCTCTCCTCATATTCCCACCAATGCCGTTATCCCCATTGGACAAAATACCATCATCACCTTTAATGTTGTTGTTCATTTTCCTCTCAAACTTACTCCCAACAACTATCTGTCTTGGTGGGCACAATTTCTATATATTCTTACCATCTACAAATTAATTGGCTTTCTTAATGGATCCAAACCTTGCCCATCAGCACCAACCGAAGAGGTTACTAACTCGCCCTTTGAACTCTGGATTCGCAAGGATCAATCAATTCGGCATGCTATCCTCATGTTGATTTCAGAACGGATTGCTTCCTACATATCTATTGTCAAGACCTCACAGCAAGCCTGGAAAATCTTGGCCAATCTCTATGCTAACCACTTAAGATCTGGAATTTTACACTCAAGGAGTGGCTCCCAAATACTTGTTGTGATGGCCACACCGTCATTGATGCTAACCACTCAAGATCCAGAATTTTACACTTAAGGAGTGGCTCCAAAATACCCGTTGTGATGGCCACATCGTCATTGAATTTCTTCATCAACTCAAGGTGCTTGCTGATGAACTTGCCGCAATAGATAAACCCCTTACCAATGATGATTTGACAATATATGTACTCAAAGGGATAGAACTTGAATTTCGTGAGATCTCTGCTTTACTATGAGCTCGAGACGAGCCACTTTCATTTGAAGAACTTCATGACAGATTAGTTGCACATGAAGAAAGCATGCACTGGGAAAAAGCTCAAACTGAAAATACACCAATGACTGCCCATTTTGCTGCCATGCCCACTAGAAGACTTG